TATATTTTATATATTATTCTGTGTATTATTTTTTACAGAATTAGAAATAAAAGGTTACAACAATATTTTTGCAGGATTAAAAAAAGAGTAACAATTAAAGATTTCAACCTTCCCAAAAAAACAAATAACAAAATTTTATTTTCTTAATTTACATATTATTTTATTTTAATTTGAATTTTTTAAACTTTAGAGTATATAAACAAAACAAAAAAAAGATAATAGCTAAAGATTGATATAAAAAAAGGAACAAATAACATTTCAATATTTTTCAACAATACTTTAGTATTCTTTATTTTAAATAACAATTACAGATTTTAGCTCCCCTAGAAAGGTAATAATTATTTTTTTTTCGTAGTTTACATATTATACCCTAGAAAGATACTTGTCATTTTTCGTAATTTGACTTTTAAAATCATTTTTTTTTAAATTAGTCAAACACAAATTGCTTATCAAAAGTACTTTTCAAATGAATTTGTCAAACACAAATTGTTTTTAAAAAAAATAATTTGAAAAACACTTCTAAATATAAATAATTTTTAATCGTAATGTCAAACAGGCTCTTAGACTTATGCAAGGTGAGGTGAGCCTATAATAGTGGATATTCAAAATCTCATAATCATTTGTATATTGTAGGGGTGGGCATAAACACCGAAAAACCGAACCGAATCGAATTATTTTGGAAATTCGGTTTTGGTATTTCAGTTTTCGGTATATGGTTTTGTATTTTTCGATATTTCGGTATGTAATTTTTGTGTAATTCGGTATTTCGGTGTTTTGGTTTACCGAAATATATTAAATTTTAATATATATTAATATTATATTAATTATTAATATTTAAAAATAAATATTATAATTTAAAATTAAAAACAAAAGTTTGTCTTTTCAAACTTTTCAACTTTACAAACCCACTTCCCAGAAGGCAAAAATTACCGTTCCCACTTCCCACGTCTAGTCGTCTACAGACTATAGTAGCGTCGGCCGTTCCAGCGACCAGCAGCACGCAGCAGCTGCCAATCGACCAGCAGGCAGCCGTAGCACAACAGCGACCGGTAAATTTCAATGTTATAACAAGGCTAAATTTCAATGTTAACGACAATTTATTATTTTGAATCATACAATAATTTGAAAAACAGAGTAAAATAAGCAAAAAGAAATAAACATAAATAAAATAAAGGGGAACTTTCACATATAGCCACTCAAAAATAGTCTAATTACTCTCCATAGCTATAGTTTGATAATTACAATTCGTAGCTACATGTTATATGGAGGAGAGAGGCGAGTGAGACTGGGAGAGAGAGGAGAGAGGCGAGAGAGAGGGGGCAAAGAGTGGAGAAAGGTGAATTGTATATGTATATAGGTTAGATAATTGTATATTATACATATATATTTGTATATATGGCAAGCGAGATTGGAAGAGGGAGGAGAGAGGCGAGCGAGATTAGGAGAGGGAGGAGAGAGAGAGAGGGCAGAGAGTGGGAGAGAGGTGAATTGTATATGTATATATGTTAGATAATTGTATATTATACATAAGCAATTGTATTTATATAGCAAGCGAGATTGGGAGAGGGAGGAGAGAGGCGAGCGAGATTGGGAGAAAGAGGAGAGAGGCGAGCGAGAGAGGGCAGAGAGTGGGAGAGAGGTGAATTGTATATGTATATAGGTTAGATAATTGTATATTATACATATGTATTTGTATATTCTGACGAATTATACATATACAAACATGACTAATTATACAAACTCGAAGTCAGCCCGCGTAATTAATGTATAATGTTAGTCGTGAGTGGTAATTATAGCAAACTATAGCTATAATGAGTAATTAAGTAGTATAAGTTTGCTTAACCGCATAATTTTCCCTAAAATAAACAAAAAAATTACAAAATTTTAAAAAGTCCACTAAGCAGGCCCATAACAAAAACCAAACCAAATTATTTCAGTTCGGTGTTCGGTACACGTTGTACAAGAACCGAAAACAAAAAAAAACCCGAAACCGAACCGAAATACCGAATGCCCAGCCCTAGTATATTGTCACAAAATTTCTATTTCTTATCCTAACCATAAAAAAAACTCTTATCATAAATAATACCTTGATTTCAGGTAGTTACATATTACTTGAGTTAATTTTTCAAATAATCATTTGACTAATAACTTTTATTTCAAAAATTTACTTTAACTTTATTTTGTTGCACAAAAGTCACTTATAAATGATAATTGGTGTAACTTTTTTAAAGTGTAATTTCTGCTCATTTTTTTTATATATTACTATATAAGAAGAGTGAATAAATTCACTCCTCTTTCGACACGTGGCACCAAAAAAAAGGAGAGGGTTGAACATAAGTGTGAATGTGAGGGTATTTTGGGTATTTAAAAATACCCTCACATTCACACTTATCTACTAAAAAAAAATTACTATATAATATATATAAAATTACTATCTAATATATATAATGTATAATATAAGTACTAGATAAGTGTGAAAGTGAGGGTATTTTGGGTATTTAAAAATACCCTCACATTCACACTTATCTACTAAAAAATATATATATAAGTAGTAGAATTAAATATATTTAAAAATAATATAAGTAATACTATACTTAGAATGCTTAAAAATAGTAAAAACTACATAAAAAGTACTACATATCATATTACAATAATTAACAATTATTTGACACTTTCAATTCTATCAATGCCATATAAATTAGGATAAAAAAGGTAACATTTATATTCAAAAATAATCTAAGTAATACTATACATTACAATAATTAATAGCTTAAATATTTAAAAGTTATATAAAAAATTTAATTGACTCTCTAAATTCTATTGCTATCACATAAAATGGATTATATGATAAATATATATTGTTTGAAATTGACGAAAAATAAACTATAATTACTATATAAGAAGAGTGAATAAATTCACTCCTCTTTCGACACGTGGCACCAAAAAAAAAGGAGAGGGTTGAACATAAGTGTGAATGTGAGGGTATTTTGGGTATTTAAAAATACCCTCACATTCACACTTATCTACTAAAAAAAATTACTATATAATATATATAAAATTACTATATAATATATATAATGTATAATATAAGTACTAGATAAGTGTGAAAGTGAGGGTATTTTGAGTATTTAAAAATACCCTCACATTCACACTTATCTACTAAAAAATATATATATAAGTAGTAGAATTAAATATATTTAAAAATAATATAAGTAATACTATACTTAGTATGCTTAAAAATAGTAAAAACTACATAAAAAGTACTACATATCATATTACAATAATTAACAATTATTTGACACTTTCAATTCTATCAATGCCATATAAATTAGGATAAAAAAGGTAACATTTATATTCAAAAATAATCTAAGTAATACTATACATTACAATAATTAATAGCTTAAATATTTAAAAGTTATATAAAAAATTTAATTGACTCTCTAAATTCTATTGCTATCACATAAAATGGATTATATGATAAATATATATTGTTTGAAATTGACGAAAAATAAACTATAAATTACAATAATTAACAAAAAAAATTGTCGGCTCCAAAAAATCTATCAATTAAGAACATATATTGTTTCAAATTGACGAAAAAGAAACTATAAATTACAATAATTAACAAAAAAATTCTCTCGACTCCAACAAATCTATCAATTAATGCCACATAAATTGGGACATGGAAAATAACATATATTCTTTAAAAATTAAGTTCAAAATGTACTATAAAATACAATAATTAACAACTTAATATAGTAAAGAGACATATAAAAAATGGTTAATATTTGAAATTTTGCATGTGCCACATAAATTAGAACAAATAGAGTAATAAATATTATTTTCAAAATTCTGTAAAAAAAAGGTACTACAAATCACAATAGCTAACAATTTAAAATATTTTTAGAATCATATAAAAATTTCAATAACTTCTCAAATTTCATAATATATGACATAAGAAGAGGGAATAACCAATATATTTATAAAAAGAAATGACATATAAAATGAAATGGACAGAGTATTAGTTTTTGAAAATGGAAAAGGACAAAACACATATAAAATTAAAAGAAATATAAAAAAAATTGGTTTAACTCTCAAACATAAAAAGTAACATATGTTTTTAAAAACTTTAATAAAAAGTACTATAATTTACAATAAATAATAACTTAAAATATCTACAAGACAACAAATAAAAGACTAATTTTTGTACTGCTTGTGTCACATAAATTAGGATTAGGATGATTTTAAAATTTTAATTTTGGTTATACATTATAAAATAGCCGAAAAATTGAATGATATAATTTTTTTAAAAATAACCGAATGAATCGTCCTATCGATAACCCTAATGTTACTTCTACTCTGTTTATTTTTACTTAAATTTAGAAAGATATGTTTCATTTCTATCCTCAATCTTATCGGTACATTTATTTGCTATTTGAAATTGAAATTAAAAAGACAAATGACAAATAAGTTTTTATATTAGCTCTCTTATGAGAAAAATATATTATAACAATCTTTACTAATTTTATAACAATACATAAACTATACTCTCTCCGTCCCATATTAGATGGGCACTTCCAACTTTATACGGTGATTAAGAAATCATTAATACATTGGAAGACTTCACCATTTTACCCTTTGTTTATATCAATGCACATTGAAATGAGTTACAAAAAATACACATACAATATAGGAATGGTCATATTAATTGTAGGGTAAATGGAAAAAAATTAATTAATTCTATCCTAATTTAATAAGTGCTCAAATAATATGAAAAAAAAAATAATTAGTAAGATTCTCATCTAATATGGGACGGAGAGAGTAACAATATAACTTTATTAATGTTGCTGCCCGGGCTTTCTTTACTAGTATATATATATATATATATATATATTATTTACTATAATTTTATGTGTGAATAACGGCGCCGTATTGATACCTCATCAGTGAAAACGACATCGTATTAGTACTATTAGTGAATTCGTATTAATACTTGGGCCGCTGCCATTGTTAACAGAGTCTTCTTCTTCAATAACCATAGCCGAAACTTCACTGTACTCTCAACATTTAGCTTCGAAGTTGTTCCAAGATGATGGGTTTATTGCGTGCTGTGGCTAAATCGAACCGTTCGATTCAAACGAGTATTCAAAATCAAGGGCTGACATTGCCTCTCTGCAGACAGTTTTCGACCCAAATGGAAACACCCCAGAAGGACAATTCATCTGATCCATTCCTCCGAAACCCATCTTCTGGTATACATGAATCTTTTAAATATTTGATAAAAAAATGATCTTGATGTTATATTTATTCTTAAAGTTCAATTTTTTTGTTTGTTGGAAGTTGTTTTTTTTTCAGTAGTTTGTTCAAGTTTTTTTGGTTGGATATGCATAATGAAAGAAATTATGGATACCCTTTTGCTTATTTGTACTTTTATCTGTTTTTTTGTGGTTTTTTTTTCAAATATTTCTGTGTTTAGGGTTTATGGTTTGGGCTGTTCTGCTTATTCATTAAGCTTTGAGCATTGTCTACTAGGTAACTGTGTCCCTGTTTTTGAAATCATTGGTTGTTTATTAGAATTGAACCAAGGGTCTGTGGGAAATAACCTCTGTATATCTGCACACTTGCACACTGTCTACCCTGCCCAGATCCTATTTTGTGGGATTTCACTGGGGCTGCGGGAACGAGTATTGTGCTTGCCCCGATCGATACCACCATTCGTTACCGTGAACCAGCCCCTCTTCAGTATAGGCAGGTCTTCCTTTAGAACAGATTCATTGCAGAACAGAAAACCAAATTGAGAGTTGTTTGTTGTTGTTTATTTATTGGAATTTGTTTTTTCCAATGGTTTTGTTAACTTTTTGGATTGGATATGCATAATGCAAGAAATTATGGATACCCTTTTGCTTATTTGTACTTTTACGCAGTCTTGTTAATTTACATGCGTATTTTTTCAAATATTTGAGTGTTTAGGATCTATGATTTTGGCTGTTCTGCTTATTCATTAATCATTTTCAATTTTCTACTAGGTAATTGTGTCCCTGGTAAATGCTTGAGAATTTTGAAAACATTGTTTAAGTGGTTATGAAGGACTTATCAAGTTTACCTGGCTTTTCCCTGTTTGCTTTTTGTTTGAGCATTGTTAGTTTGCTACTAGGTATTAGGTAAGTATTTGACGTATTAAACACCTTGAGATTTAGTTACTCATGGCAGTGAAAATATTTTGTTGGATTTAATTGTATTGAAAAATTTGTGAGTTTAACACATGAGTGGAGGTAATAATCATCAATCAACCAACTACACCTCAATCCACACTAGTTGGAGTAATTGGGGTCAGCTATATGAATACTTTGTATCCTTGCCACACGTGTGCATATGAGTTCACTGTTCTATCCTATTTTGGCAAATTTTATGCTAACCATCAAACTACTCCATCCCCTTGCTTTATTTAAGTTACAAGCTTGTTCTAGTTATGCTTCACGAAGATCACATAGGTGGTGTTGGAGGCAATTATCAACCATGAAAAAGTTATGGATTCCTTATATCCACTTCTTTTGCGTCAATTTCCTTTATTCCACACATGTAGAGTGGATAAGTTTTAATAAAGATGTGAGTTATTCCTTTTCTTTTGGTGACACAAATGCATATGCAATCATATACGAGATTGATCCAGGATCTTGGTATTTCTATTTCCCAGGTTTGGTTTATGGGAGACTTTTTGTCACTGGGAAGCATACAAGGAAGAGTGACATTCTTAACATGTTAGGGAGTTCTAGATTGAGCCCAGATGACGTTAGATTTGAGTACAACATGAACTATGCTCCAGTTTCAGTGTAAGTTTTCTTTTATGATTTAAGGTTTAACAATGTCTATGACGAAAGTGCTTACAATTACACCACGGCTGTGAAAGCCAAAAGCAAATCCAAAGCATGCAGCCTCTTTACACATGATGCAATTGACCCAAGTCAAATGTTTCCTTCTTCAAAAATTCTTTTCTCCTACTCAAAAATACGAACACTTTTCAGAAAAAGAACTGCCACCCATGCTTTTTTTCTCTCTCCTGCCCATCTCTGCCAGCTACCACCTGGTCCACCTCTCCTCCTTCAGTCTATCTCTATGATCTAAAACCATTTCTTCACTTTCCTTTTTACTGTTAAACAACAAGATTATTTTAAATTATCCATCATTCCTGAGTTCGAAATTTCTATACCCAGCATAACACAATGGTCACGAACAAGAGAGAAACCATGATAAGCTATTGCCCAGGCCATCTAAATTTTTTCTGCTTTGTTAAATTGTTACTCACAGTAGCACCACACACCCTCCCACCAATTTTTCACTCTCTTTCTTGCTTCTCCAAACTGAACTGCCATACCCTAGACCCAACTTTCAAACTACAAAAGACAATATTAAATTATAGGCTTTTGGCTAAAGCTGAGCCATCACTACCATCCATGGTGGCCGGGATCATATAAATACATAACTATTACTCCTTTAATGGAGTAAACATGATTTTACTTCTTTTAGTATATCATATTTTGTTTCTCCGTTTGAGGAAGAGCAAAAAAAGTGTAGCAGATGAAAATCCATCAATGTTAAGCTCTATTAGTATGTGTTTGCATGTGGGGGAGGAGAGGAGGGACATATGGGAGATGAATAGAGACGAGGAAATGTGAAGAAGATAGGAAAAATGAAGAGAAATAATACTAAAGAAAGCATGTCAGAGCATTCCTATGGAGGAACAGTAACAACAACAAAATAATACTATAATTGAAGTACAAGAAACATAAAATAGTAACAAAGGTCGAAGAACAAGAAACTACCAGAATAATACCACGATTTGTAGTTTGGAAGGATAAGTGGGACAATACTCTACAACCTAACTAACTTTGTACCCTTATCTTTGTGCTCCATAACCTCCTATTTAAGGTCAAGTCCTCGGTCAACTGAAGTTGTGCCAAGTCTTGTTTAATCACCTCTCCCCAATACTTCATTGGCCTACCTCTACCTCTCCTGGAACCTATGTTGCTCGGACTCTTCAAAAATTTCATTGGGTGCGTGTCGGATTATTCAAAAGTAGTGCATTTTTAAGGATCTGACATGGGTGCGGCAACATTTTTGGACCGTCCGAGCAACTTAGCCAGGAACCATCCATAGTCAATCTCTCACACCTACACACTAAGACATTTGCACATCTCCTTATCTCTTGTCTGAACCATCTCAACCTCGCTTCTCGTATCTTTTCCTCAATCGAGGCTACTCTCACCTTGTCTCGGATATCATCATTTCTAATCTTATCTCTCCCAGTGCCCACACATCCATCTTAACATTCTCATTTTCGCAACTTTCATTTTTTGGGTGTGAGAGTTCTTAATTGGCCAACATTCCGCGGCATACAACATAGTCGGTCTAACCACCACTCTGTAGAATTTGCCTTTAAGTTCTGGTGACAACTTCTTATCACACAAGACTCCAGAAGTGAGCCTCCATTTCATCCACCTTGCACCAATACGATGAGTGACTTCATCATCAATCTCTTGATTACTTTGGATAATGGACCAAAGATACTTGAAACTTTCTTTCTTTTGGATGGCCTTGGTATCAAGCCTCACTTCCTTGCACTCTAGGTATTCTCTCTTGGTATAGGCAATTTCATGGAAGGATCAATGTATAAAAACTTGACAGGATATGGATTCTATGTAAAGGTAATCTTATCATTTGTTTTGATGAAGGGTTATCTTATCAGTTGTTAGCAATATTTGGACTCATACTATTTTGTCAAAAGTTTAGAATGAATAACTAAGAGTGTAATGCTACTGGACCATAAACCCTTAAGAAAAGGGCTTCTTATACATACTTTTATATAATTCAGCACCTATTTAATACATGAAGATGCTTATTAACAAAATACGTTACTTTAACAACCAAACAAACTAAGGGGCCATTTTGTTTAGGAGCTAGTTATGCGGAAATTAATAATGTAGGGATTGTAATGCAAAGATTTAGTTATGCAGGGCTTAGTAATGTAGGAATTGTAATGCAGAGATTAACTAATGTAGAGTATATGGGGACGATAAAAAAGGTAAGCGAACAATGCATATTTATTCCTTGTTTGATATATAAATTGCACTACCTTATGCTGCAAACCAAAAGGCCCCGTGGAGTTTTCAGGACATATCATTTGTTAATCAGATTGAATGTCTTGCTTCATTTTTTACATAATTTGTACGGCAGTATTGACCAGTAGCTTGTGAGTTAATCTGAATTACACCACCAATACTTGGTCAATGTGGGTAATAAATTACTTTTTAGTTTATTCCAGTTTCCTAATGATGTTTCTTGTCACAGTTGTTTCCTTTTCCACCAATAGGTCTTGAAGTTGTCGATTTTTCCTGCATTTTTTCTGTACTTAGTTGTTTGTTCAACGAGAGAGTAGTCTAAGCTTTCTTGCCCGTTTGCTTAATATATTTTAAATATTACTGTTACTGCTTTATCAGAATGAAAATACTTATTACTGCGCTATTCCCTATTTTATCTCATGAATAGGATGATTCAGTTCCCTACTCGAAATTCTTATGAGGCTACACTTAGGGAAGGAAATCGGAAGGGTGGCTTATTCAGAATGGAGAGGGTACTGTTTCAATATACATCTTGATTATTAATCTCTGGAGGGTCACATGCAAAATTGTCATTTCCTCTACCTTTTTGATGATTATAGGTTGGTCGTCAACAGTGGGACACTTTGCCACGCTATGATGGAAAAACTGTAAGTCCGGTCTGTAGACTCTAATGTTTACTGTCTCCATCCTTTTTTCTGTGTGTTGGGCTGTGGTAGATGGTGGTGGAAGGGCTGATAACAAAAATAAAAACCTCAACTAATAGGAGACAAAAAATATACTAGGTGATTTCATTCTATATGTCTAAGCCTTAGTCATAGCATAGTTACTTGATATTGTGTTGCCGGGAGGTAACACTTACGGTGTAGTAGTTGAGGTGTGTTCAACCTGACTCGGATGCTAGTTTTATTTTTAAAAAACAACGAATTATTCTTTTTTTTTCTGAATGATGAGGTTCATGCTTTGAAGCAAAAATCTAATGATGATTGTTGGCAATATCAGATTTTATTGGTAGGGGTCCCTCGAAATGCAGTGGCCGAAGATGTGGAACGTTTCCTTGCTGGTTGCCAGTATGATGCATCAGCAATCCAAATGTTCGGCAGACCACAACGAGCTTCTGATAGGTATCTAAGCTCTACCACTCACATGCCGTTGGCTTTATTCACTCTTATGTGTTCTCTGTTAGTAATTAGATGGATTTCTGGATTATTTGTTGCAGACCACCAACTAGAACAGTCTTTGTGGAGTTTCCCTCGCAGGCTAAGGCAACACATGCATTTATTACGAAGAACAGAGGCTTCTGTCTTAATAACCAAATTACAGTGCGACTTCTTCAGTAATCTCATCCATCTCCAAGATAATCTATGTTTTGTTTCCCTGTTGGCGATCTTCAATTGCTAGGATGTCGATGATGATTTGGAATGCTTGGATTGTGTACCTTCTTGTCCAGGCTTCAATCCTTCCATCAGAGAACTATTTTCATTTACGGTAGGAAAAGCTGAGATGAAAGTCCAAATAATATAACCTTATCAATATTTTGAATGACATTGTTTTGCGTCCAAGGAGGGACCAAAAAGGAGATGTTCTTAGCTTTTGTTTGGATTGTTTGTTCTTAGCTTTTGCTTGGATTGTTTGATCCAGTCATCAAGCGTTATACTTTTAGAAGGCCCTTCATGTTTATGATAGTCTCCTCAAGTCCCTTTATTTAGATACTACTCGAACTACCACTTGTTTCAATTATTCGGTATTAGACACTTTTTAAGTTTAAATTTCAGAAAAACATTGGCAAATGAAATCCTCTTCGACATTGTCACAATGCATAGACGTGAGAAAACACTGTCAAGATCATTTCAATCCTCAGTAGCCCCTAAACAACAGAACTGTCAAGATGTGGTCAATGTTGATGATATATATACTTTATCAGTGCAGTAATCTTATTATTAGGGGTGACAAAAAATAGTCCATTTAGACACTTCCAAATTCAGTCCGACCCATCCATTTGCTACCACTATATAAGTGGGCAAAACTTAGGGGAACCACTCTAGGATGAGCATACAACTTCAGCAGAAGCCTAGGAAATATGATAAAAGGGACAGATGAAACAAAATCATGATTAATGAGATTTATATAACAATTCCATTATACAAAAAATAAAAGGTCTGTATTGTGATTCCAAACAACAGTGAATTGTAATTCATTCCGGTAAACCTACTGCCATTCCAGGTAAAACTCACAGTGTTAGGCTGAGAACTGTATAAAATGTCGGGAAGAGACCCCCTCCAAAAGACTTCAAAATCACAGCTCAAACTCCTCGTCTTGAAGAGCCAATGCTGCAGCCTCTTCTTCCTCATCATCAAGAACAAAGTACTCATTCCTTTCCACAGGCCTAAACATGTAAAACATGACAATGTAAAAAGCTAAGCTCACTATTTCCTCCGCAGAGGACGCCACCCATTGGTACTTATACGCGGCAATTGTCTTCAATGCAAAAACCACAATCCTTGTGAAGTACAAGTATCCAATCACCACAATATAAAACTGCCTGAAAAGAGTCAACTTTGCCAAATTCCTTGCTGCCTTCCCATCGGTCTTGGAAGTCTCCCTCAATGACCTAATCGACCACACAATGGGGAAAATAATAGCACAGCAGCACACAATATCAACAATCAAAAAGACCTGATTCCATGTCACCCAGTCCTTAATAAAAGGACCTGTTTCACCAATAACGACCGAAGCCACATTAGCCAAAACCTGAAGCGGAATCACAATCATCAACACCTTCTTTTCCCTATCTTGCAAAAATGGCTTCAAGAATGACCACCCAGTACCAATCAAAACGATAACAGTGAAAAGCAAAACCACACGCATGGACTGGAAAATGTAGAACAACACATCCCATCCATGTGCAGTCCCAGTAACCTTAACATAATGCTTATCCTCAGCAGCAAAAAGCAAATTCAACGCCTTCATTACAACCAAAAGTGCCATAAGTCCATGAATCCTATGCACTGATATCCTATTCTTCAAACACACCAAGACCCAGACGGCCAAGAAGCCAAAATAAACCAAGGAAAACAAAAAATACAACGTTGGCAACTGCGTAAGACCTGTAGAAAGAGGGGAAGATTATGAGAAGTTGAATATGCAGAGAGATGAGAAATGCATAGTGGGTACCTGCATTATGGCTATTTCAACCAAATTGGCTTGCCATGGTATCATAATATTGAGAGATTTGCACAAATAGGATCATTTCAGGTTTTGCTGTTTAACGTTTGTCCCAGTGTAAGGAAGTTTTGCAAGAGTAGGTTGGCAAGGCCTAGCTTGCTCAAAGTGTCCCTAGCCGGGGCATTTTATTTTTTTTGGTTTCCCATCCGGTGTCCGAAGCCCACATTGGAGCTCCGACTAAATCCAGATCGCGCTCTGCAGGGACCATTCTGGGGTGGCGCTCCCAACATGATTTTCTCCATACCCAAGGCTCGAACCCAAGACCTCTGGTTAAGGGTGAAACACTCTCACCAGTGCAACTTGTTTGAAGTTATGCCAGACAGGAGCATAACTTGTTAAATGCCTGTCCGGGCATAACTTTGAACAAGTTAATCCCGCCCCAACATAACTTCCACTTGGTCTTAAAATGCAGAACTTTTAAAACAGGGGATTTAAACACCAGCTCTCAAAGCACCCATTTTTGCATAATATTTGAATATGACAAGGTAGTAGAAGTATTTGAGTATTATAATTTGTTCGAACGAAACATTTCCATCAAAAATGTTTATTCGGGAAATCATCATTCTGATCATTTGCTTGTGTTTGGTTAATACGCCATAAGGAAAGCTTCTTTCTTTTTTTAGGATGAGGGGGTAAGAGCTGGACATTTGCAAAAGAAATGACTTTTACCAAGTTATACTCTTCATTTTGATGAAAAATATTTCCCTCTTAAAAAGCATACGAAAATGAGTTCATGAAGTTATATTAAGCTCTTCACAATTCAAGTAACCAAGCAAATTTCATGAAAGAATATATTTTGTTTTCACAATTCAGGTCTAACACACCATTAAAAACTCATTTCATCAACGAAACTAGTAGGATTTCGCAGAAAATGGTTACATCAAGGAAAACATTTCCACCATACCAAACCAAAAGGTCCCTTTCACTATCATATTTTCATATTTTGCAGGAAGCTCAATTTGATCAAATGAACATATTTCCCAAAATAACCAACAAAACGAGCAAAAAAATTATACAAAATGAGCAATTTATCAGAAAAAAAATACAAAGTGGGTAATCGAATAAAACCTGCAGACAGATAATCTTTAACGCGGCCATCGAGATTGTAAAGCTCAGTGCGTACATCCATTGAAATTTTTGATTCAGGAGCACAATTGGCGAAGAAGAGAGAGTATTCATTAGGGGAAGTTACAGGGTAAGCTCGATCGAATGACGAATTGGGTGGAGGAGAAAGATCACGAAAAGTGAATAAATGTTGAATGTAATTGGATTCAAGGACACAGAAATTAGGGTTTTGTTGAAGCTCAATAAGGACTTGAATTAGGGATTCTTCAGATAGGAGGAAGAATCCGAGTCCGGAAGGATCAGGGGTAGCTAGACTGGAGATGACGGAGACAGAGGAGACGCTAATGGAAACTTGACCCGTACGTGTGAACCCGAATCGTTCGAAGAGGATCATGGGTCGGTTATCGGATCGGATCTTCAGTTTTTTTATCTCGCCGGAGGTGAATGAGGAGAGGCAGAGTAGAAGGAGAAGGAGGGTCGGTAATTTCAACATTTTTTGTCCGGCGTTGGATACGGCAGCGATGGTGGAATTTGGCGGCGGAGCACGGCGGAGGAGAATTTGGTGAAGAGAAAGTGGGAGAAAATGAAATCTGGAATAAGATTAACAGGAAATTGCTTTGAAATGACGATATTGACCCTATGTGCGTTAGATCTAATGTATTAGGTGGGAATTTGGGATCTAAAACAAAGAGAGGTCTATATATATATATATATATATATATATATATGAAACAATAAAAATAAAGAGATGAAAAAAAAATGAATAAATAAAAGACAACGTAATCAACAATGTATCGAGTGTAATTCCACGAGTAAGGTGTAGAGCGAGCGATGTATACACAAACTTATTCCTATTTGTGAAGATAAAAAGATTATTTTCAACGAGACAACCTTTGTTGGTCGTTTCCTCTATTTCGTGATAAGATAGCATATTTCGTTTGTGTTCATGGGATTTCGAACGAATCCTGAGGTCGCACCTTCAGCTTAAGTAAATAGTATGAAAAGGAAAAGCAATAACAAAGAAGTCATGGTGAAAATAATGAAGAAAAAAACAATATCAATCGGAGAAAATTATGTATTTTTATTTTATGAATAATTTAATGACATAGTTAGAATATTCATCAAGGAATTTAAATTATGAAGAAATGAATATACGAAGTAGACAAACAAAGTTCAACATTTATTAAACTACTATATATACATAAAAAAAATATTTTAATAAATTTCAATTCAAATACAGATTTGAATTGAATCCTATTGAGGTCACGTATATAATTAAATAATATATAATGTATTGTTGATAGTGAAATATTTATAAAAAAATCTGAAAAATAATGTGAGGAACAAATTTGATCAAACTTTTATCTTTTCATTATGTTTGAATTTAATTTTCCAAAATCAAAATCTTCTAAACTAATTAACGTTGACTTGACATTTGAACGGTTTTTATGAGAATGAATTAGAAAAACAAAGTTGAAAAAGAGAGATTTGAAAATCGGCAATTAGGATTAAATATAATTTTTGTGTGGTTTGCAGGTTATTACACAGTGGAGATTTATCTAGTGCGCATAAAGTGTTCACCCGAAGGACAGAGGCTGTGACAGAGATTGTAGCGACTGCGGATTATTCTAGGGTTCAAAAAATAAATTATGTTTGACTAGAGCCGTCAAGATGGGCTTAAGCCCATGGGGACGGCCCAACCCAATCCGTTATCGGGGTAGGATTGAGATAGAATTTTTCAAGCCTCTTTAAAACTAGGGCTTATAAGTCCGTCCCATTTAAGCCCTTGCCCTTGAGACTTGATCGGGATTGGGTCGAGGTCGGTTCATGGGTCAAAATTATTTATTTTAGGGTAACTTATAGAAATTTCACTAGTGTATGAGCTAATTACTTAGTGCACGCTATATTGTAATAGTACGAATCTTACCAATTTTTTGTGTGTCCAGAGACATGTATCTCGGGATACATGAACTCAAAATTATGTGTAATTTATTTTTAGATATACTCTATCCAAGTGGATTCGCATGCATCTAGGATACATTGACAAATCCCGCGTCCTCGCCTCCCTCTCATCTCGCTCGTCACTTTCTTATCTCGCTCGCGTATGTGGATGCATCACACTAGATACATCTATCTCGCGTATCTAGTATCCTAGATACAAGTAATCACACTAGATTTTTTGCTAGTGTTATTGAAACAACACCATTGTTTGTCATATTTGATTTGAAAATCTTCTCGATGTCCTAGAATTTTAAGTTTGAAAAGAAAAAAGAATGAAAAAAAAGGTTAGTCCACCCCAACTCACGACCCTTCTACGTTTGGGTTGGATTGAGCATTTTCAGGCCCTTCCAAATGAACGGTGAACCCGTCCTAACCCTTCAAATTCTTTGACCCGCAAAGCTTGGATCAGATGGAATTGGGCAGGCCCTTTTTTATAACGGTATGTTTGACTATGTTTAAACAAATTAATACTTAATCTATTAGTACATCATTGTGTAACAAATTTCCTGACATTCAAAATAAGGCAATTATTAATTTGTCGATTTGATGTATGGTGGTAATTGACGGTGGTATTAATTGTGATGGCGTGGTTTATTGGTAGTAGAAATTGACAATATTGGTGATAGTGGTGGTAGAGATGGTGACGACTACAGAGATGGTGGTGGTGGTGGAGATGGCGGTGGCTACAGAGATAGTGGAGATCATAGCGGTGACTACAGAGACGATAATGGTGGTAGTTATAGATATAATCATAATGATGGAGGAGGTAAGTGTTACATAGTAATATTTAGCAACATTGTGATAACATAGATGGTTGGTGGTAGACGATGGTAATGGTGGTTATGATGACTAAGGTGGTTAGTAGTGGTGGAGATGGTGGAAATGATTGTAATGACAAAGGTGGTTAGTGATGGTGACTGTGATGACAAAGATGGTTAGTGATGATGGCTGGTGATTGTAGATAGAGTGATGATGAATATTATCAATATCTCTTAATAATATTAAGACTCTGTTCTAGATCTTAATCTATTCAAACCCATTAAATGTTTGAAATCTTAATGAAAACAAATATATTTAATAGTCCAATGTATGAATCATTCAGATTTAAACCTCGTACAAACAAACGAAGCCTTAGCCTAATATAATAAAGCTCATACCAAAAATACTACTCTTATTAGTTTGACATGTATATTTATCTTGGAAAAATATCACCCATGAGAGATTAACATCATTTCATAATATAAATTTCACTTTAAACAACGGATAAGGAATTTATTATCTAATTAATTTTAATTCATATTTAATATATCGGAATATATATATTTTCAATATTACCTAGTACCGAGTCAAATCTGCTCTTTTTTTTTTTGTTGCAGAAAAGAGATCTCTTCCCCTCGCTTTCGAATGTCTTGTTCCTTTAATTATTCCTATTAGTCTGCATATGTATATTTATGGATGTTTCAAACATTATTAGACATATAGACGGTGACAAAGATTAACGTGAACTTGTGTGCCTAACTATACATGAGCTGGATAGCTACTTCTCCCGTTTCTATTCACTTGTCAAATATTTTTTAATCTAATTTTTCTTTTTAATTTTATTTTTGATAAATTAAATTTTTTTTATATTTTTCTTAATAGATGTTTCAAATCAAAATTTAACTAGTAAATTAAAATAGAAGAATTATTTTCTTTTGATTTAAGCACATCACCTCCCAAAAGTCAAGCTTGTCTTGGTTTTCATAGATATCTCATAAATATATTTTTCCAATGCACATTCTTGAAAAATTTCCTAACATTCTATTATTATTTCTAAAATAAGATCTAGACTAGAATCCGCCCCCCCCCCCCCCCCCAAACCCCACCCACAAAAAATAATATTCATAATTCTATACACCCTCATCTAATTTACTGAGTTCAAAATTTATTTTTTGTATTTATTTAGAGCCTTTTTACATATATATAAATTTTGAGGTAAAATTAAGTTCAAATAATTGGTTAATAGCACTTTAGTCCCTTAATATTGGTAAATTTTAATTTTTGTGATATTTGATGAAGCACATAAAATCTTCAATTAGTTAAATTTGACACTTATGATCTCTTTTTTTAAAATTTTTTTAATCATAATTATTAATTATCTCATCACTTAATTCCATATTTATGATAATATAATTTTATAAATAGCGAAATAGTAACATATTTTCTATGTGAAGACGCCAAAAACAAATATTTTAACTAACTAAAAATTAAATAATTTAATTATATATCACAAAGATCAAATACATTATTATGTATTAATAACTTAAGGATGGAAGTGTTATTGACCCTAAAAATATATAAAATAAATTATAAATACTAAAACCACTTTTCATGGGTCAAATGATGACTTCTCATGAAAAATATTAAAAAAATAAGAAGGCGATACTTCTTAGGAAGCAAGGATCTAATTCTAGAACCCCTTTTCTCGAGAAACTAGAAAACATAGTTTATAACTAAATTTTTTTTCGGAGTATTGAATTAGTGCAACAAATGATATTTCATAAAGAAGATTATGGATCAATTTTCTCAATCAACGTCTTCTTAGGTGAGCTTATCATATCAAATTTACCTCATACAATTTATATCTTTTATGTGGTTTATGAATATTACATGCTACGAGGTTTTACTAGTGCACATCCAAATAGTAACGCGAGCAAGTTTCTTGAGATTTTTTTTTTTAGGTTGAAAAAAGCTTTATCAAAATTAAATTTTCAAGAATACCCTTTTCAACAACCCAAATTTACAACAATAATGAAGGTAATTATGTAATTTTAAGAAAAGAGTAAGGGCATAAATGGAATTAACGAAAACCTAAAGGCCATACTTATTTATTTTCCATTTGCATATTTAAGGAATGTTTTTATTTTTTGGGGCAAGTTGGAAGGAATTTATTGACTCTGGTTGTGTGTTTGTTATCCAAAAATTCATTCAATTCTTCATATTATTATCAGTCCAAATTTCAAAGCAATCCTCTTTTTTCTTCCAGCATTTTTTAGCTGTATTTTAAGTGATTTTGACAATTTTGTTATTACACAAAATATTAGAAAAATCAACAGAGATCACCTACTTCCCAGAGAGAGAGAAAAAAGAAGAAGAAAGATACCCTCATAATATTCCTGGTATAGTCTTCTTGTTTTGCATATATTAAATGGAGTAAATTCTTGATATTATTTTCTAATTTTCTTCTTTTCATCAACCCTTTTCAGCTGTGAGATTAATTTCATTTTGATCCATCCATTCTTGGAGCTTCAAGATTTTATTTTTCTCTTCAATCTGTAAGTATGTGATCTTATTTTGCTAATTGGGGTTGTGTTTTCAAGATTTATTTTGGTTTTTATGCATTATATAGATTCAATTCTCATTTGGGGTTTTGTAATTTCAAGAATCTTGATATAAAGTTTTGTTCTTTAGGGGTTTTGGATTTTTCTTGTATTATTTTGGAATTTGTCATTTTTGATACTATGCATGGTCTTAAATTTGTTTTTGTTTTTTTAAA